CCTCACAGCATAAAGAAAATGATATCTGAAGCCAGCAAGGACAGCTGTATTACCGTAGACCAGAGCAGAGTATAATAGCTCTTAGTGTCGCGCTGTTCTTTTGCACAATATACATTGCCTGTGCATTCTACTACTGTGAGAACAGCTTGTGCAAAATAGAAGCATCACAAATACTCTTGCTGTTATCTTTATATAGTAAATGCTCATCAGACACAAGGTCTCCTAGCAAACAGGTCTTCACTCATACAAAAAGAAATCACAGCTATTAAAGCTCCATGTATTGATAGTTTTCTGCATAGGTGGCTTTAGTAGCACTGCTCAGTTCTGATTGATTACTGATGAAAGACCTTGGGTAAGTGTATTATCATCTGTGTATTATTTATGGTCCCTTTACAGAAGGACTTAATGCTGAATATGTGAAAGGGGAACAAATGGAGGGAGTAGTGTCTGAAGAACCTCAAGGTAAGATATAGACCTCTTTTTGATCTTTTCGTGTCATTTTATAAACTGGGTATGTAATTCCTCCCACATCTAGTGATATAGGTCCAGCAGTTGATGACATTATACCCTTTAATGTCACTGTGCCTTAGCCATTTAGGATACCGTCTAGTTCCGATGGCAACTTGGATGCATGGTGAGATAAAGGCCTGTTTTACTTTTGATTGTTCACATCCCAATGTATTATTAAACAATATTATAAATTGGTTATAGAGATCTGATTCCTGACCTATCTAATGGTATAGGACAGTGATGGCGAACCTTTTTGAACCCGAGTGCCCAAACTGTGACGAAAAATCAATTTATTTATCTCAAAGTGCCAGCGCTGAAAATACGTTTAGTATTGCAGTTTGGGCGCTCGGGTTTAAGAAACGTTCAACATCACTGCCTTACGGCCTTGTACGGCTCTCACGGGAGACCCGAACGTCCCGGTCACAATCAGGCAGCGGTGGTGACCTCTAAACAGGCAGATTAGACGGCCGCTTGCGGGGGCCTCCCTGTTTATTGGCCGCCGCTGCCTAATTGTGACTGGCCCGGATCGCATACTAAGGCGATCCGGGTCAGTCGGATCTATTTAAATTGGTGGTCCCTGAACGCAATGGTGTATTCTGGTTTGGGGCTGCCCTACGCAAGGCAAAACTCGGGCGCCCCCCCCACTAAATTTACCCCACCCCTTCCTGTTTAATACTTTTTGCGTGACCTGTTTGTCGCTGGATACAGTGCAAACACTGTATCCAGCTTTTGACATGTTTCGCTATTAGTATAGCAGGAAAGCTGTGGTCTCGGGGGCTTAGCAGGATTTGAGGTGAGCTCTGTGGGGTCTATGGTGGGCAGAGCCCACCCCAGATCCTGCACAGGCCCGAGCCCATGCAAAGCCCCCCACAGATCCTGCACAGACCCCTGGAGGCCCTGCAGTCTGCAGGGTCTCAGGGGGGCTGTGCAGGATTTGTAATGGGCATTGCCCACCATGGGGCTGCAGAGCCCACACAGATCCTGCAAAGCCCCCATGAGACCCTGAAGTCTGCCGGATCTCAGAGGGGCTATGCAGGATCTGTGGTGGGCTTTGCAGGCGGCAGAGCACCCTACGGATCCTGCAAAGCCCCCCCCAGATCCTGCAGAGAGACCCTGCAGTCTGCCAGATCTCAGGAGTGCTGTGCAGGATCTGTGGTGGTCTTTGCAGGATCTGTGGGGGGTTTTGCAGGCTCCAAAGCCCCTCACAGATCCTGCACAGCCCCCCTGAGATCTGGCAAAGCCCCCCACAGATCCTACAGAGACCCTGCAGTCTGTCGGATCTCAGGGGGGCTGTGCAGGATCTGTGGAGGGGTTTGCAGGCTGCAAAGCCCCCCACAGATCCTCAAAACCTCCCACAAGTCCTGCAAAGACACCCTGAGACCCTGCAGTCTGCCAGATCTCAGGGGGGCTGTGCAGGATCGGTGGTGGGTTTTGCAGGCTGCAGAGCCCCCCATGGATCCTGCAAAGCCCACCAAAAGGTATTGCACAGCCCACCTGTGACTCTTTGGTGGGCTGTACATAATCTATGGTGGGCCCTGCCAGCACAGTGCTCCTACCTTACACGGGAAGCCCAGCCTTCACTGCTGCCTCGGCGCCCAATCGTCTCAGCTTCACCGCTCGACTGCCCCCTTGGCGACGCCTCCTCCATTGCGGTCTCTGCCTTTTGCCTCCTCGGTCTTCACAGGCCTCTTCCATCTCCCCCTGTCTCATGCCGCTCCATCCCCGTCACCTCACGTCCTCTTTCATCTCCGCCTAAATCTACCTCTGTCTCCGGCCCTGTCTCATGCCGCTCACTCCCCCGTCTCCTCCATCTCCGCTCCCATCTCCCTCTGTCTCCACCCCCTGCCGCTCCGTCCCCCTTCCCCTCCTGCTCGCTCGCCCGCCGATTTCTCCGCCTTCGACATGTCGGCTGCTTTAATGTTTTGGGGCCTGAACCTTGGCTCACGTGCCAGCAGAAAGGGTCTCGCGTGCCCTCCCTGGCACGCGTGCCATAGGTTCGCCACCACTGGTATAGGAGGAACGGGGGAGGGGGTGGAACTGCAAGCACTAATTTTGTACTTTAAGGAAATGTCAGTACTTGTAGAGAGAGACCTAATAAAACTTTAAACCTACCGGTACTACCAGCCCCTTGTTCCCCACACAGTACAGCAATCTTCTACCTCTCTTTTTTTTTTTTTTTGTTTTTCTTCAAATGACATCTACATACGGCACTAATCATTTCCTAGATTAAAGACCTATCCTCCACTTGCAGGTTATCACATGTGCAAATCGTTCTAGTGAAGTAGCTTGCCGGGGGCTTTTTCACTGGACCTTCTCCTAATGCAGTGGAGTGACCATCTGTGTTACCCTATCATAAGGAACATCTCATGGATACAGAGAATGGCGTCAGGGTGCATGTGCAGTACTGAAATACAAAACACAGAGAGCGCCTCCATCGTGTAAAACTTTTTAATAAAACAGTTGAAAATGTACTCACAAAGGGAGCTAGATAACAGGCAGAAACAGATCTCTGCTTTACCTGATCTGTTTATGTCTGTTATCCATCTCCCTTTCTGAGTACATTTTCAACGGTTTTTATTCTCTTTTATTAAAAAGTTTTACACGATGGAGGCGCTCTCTGTGTTTTGTATTTCAGTTCTGTGGTTCCCCTAATCTTCGAGAGCAGCCCTGAAAGTGTATTACATTGAAGATCTCCCTCTCATCTTTGACTCATGCTGCTGGCGCTTATGTGTTAATTTGCATGTGCAGTACACTAACTGCAGTTCTGCTTTTAAGTTGACTGTATTCAATAAATCCAAAACTATTTTTCAGTTTTGTAAAGATGAGGGGAAGGTTTAAACCCAAAGTTTCCTTTTATTGCCTGTGGCCCACTGAGATTTCCCCTTGGATCCTGTTCCAGATAGTATATCGCAGGTAGTAATCTCCGAAGTAGGGAGAAATCTTCTTTTTGACAGTGCCACGGGAACATTGATGGAAAATCCAAATTTTTATAGTGGTCACCAGAACAGAAGGCAAGGGGAAAAAATCATCCACTTTCTGTCCTAGTGACAGTGATTACCATGACAAATTGTCAGGATAAACCTGCCCAGTGGAACACAGACAGCAATTATAGTCTGACAGAGGTTCTAACCCTTCCTCACACTGTCCAAAACAGCAAAAATATTTTTGGGCTTTAGATGAACTTTAATTTGTCACTGTGTCCTGACCACTTAAGATATTGTGTAGTTGAAATGGTTACATGTGTATAACACTGTTTTATTTCCCACATTATAGAGGCCATCTTTTATGATCTTCACACCTACCTCCTTCTGACCATGGGATATTAAGAAAAGGCTGATTTCTTTTGGTTGGGAAGAAAACTGATGTAGTGCTTAGTAGGATATACACTGGTAGATTTTCAAATGGACATTTGTACAAACAAATCTTGTCGGAATGTTCAATATTGCCATCAGAGACTTGGTGAATGTCATTCAAAATGTCATTTGATTTTCGTCTTGGTTTAACATTTGATTTTGGAGTGAATGGAGTTTCCCCGAACAAAAAACACATTTCACTGTTAGAATTTTGTTCGATTGAGAAAAAATTTCAAATGTGTCTTCTAATTTTTTTGTCACTGCGGTCGAAATGAATCATTGATTTGACCCCACCAACTATTAGAAAATTGAACAAAAGTCACAATAAATCAATTTTGTTCGTTTGAAATCAGTGTATACCCTACATTAAGCTTAAAAAAGGGTGCAGTAGGCAAGCATTGTGAAGGGAGAGCACCTAGTGTCTTTCTGGGCATTCCAGATAATCTCATGTTTATTTCTAGAACTACTTTTTACATGAATGTTTAGTAAAATAAAAACCTATAACGTGTAAGCTAACCACATTTTCCCTGTGTCTGTTCCAGTGAAATACTCTTCTCTGCAATGCCAGTCCGCCGTTCCTCCTTCAGAAGATCCATCGAAAGTGTGAAGGCTTCCACCTTAATAGGATCCCCCTCACCCCTAATGTTATTTGCCAGCTTCACCCTGTCTCTGGGGCTGATGTATTTTGTGTTTTTATTTATTATGCCCACCAGGTGACCCTAAGCTTAGGTTGTGTCCACTATAATATGGGGGGTTGCTCCCTTTTAAGAGTTAAATGTTTACATTTTAGCAAAAAGTCAGTGTTTTTATCGAATTTTACACTCTGCCAACTTACTGAGCAAATTGTACAAACGGGAAGGCAGAGGTTTCTATTTAGCAATGCCTTTTTTTTGAATGCACTATTTTTGCATAGCTAGGGATTCTAAGTTGTAGTAGACAAATGTAGCTTATTTGTGGAATATATCAGCAGTTCTGTTGCTTTCAAATGGGAATGTTACACTTATTTGCTTAACTGTGATGACCATGACCATTGTAGACTATGGCACTCCTTATTTGTGGGATCCAAGGAAATTAAGAATTATTAATGACTTATTAGAATATTATTAGAAGAATTAATGAGCCTAGTCAGCAGCTTTTGCCTAATGTCTGTACCTTCTGGTATCTTTATCAAGTCACTTTGGTTACAATGCACCATCTTTGTGGATCAAGTCATTTAAGCCAATATGCAAACCTCCAAGGACGTGTTTTAAAATATTTTGACTTGCCATTTTGGTGCCTTGATAATTAAATCATTAGGTTGGTTAAAATTCTTAAAGCAGGTAAAAAAAAAATGCTATTTTGCACTACAGTAGCTTAAAACTGTTTCCTCTGCTTGGCATGGCTATCCATCAAACTCTACCCACCTGTTCTCCAAAGGAATCATAATAATGGTCAATGCTATTTAGAAAGTTGCATTGTGCTGTCAGCTCGCTTGTGCTACAGAGGCACTGTAAAAATCTGGAAGACAATTATGACCCGACATAGACCAGTCTTACTGTGGGATTTGTTGAGCTCTTCATGCTTTGCATTGGGTCAGGTGGCCCCATATAGTTGAATAGTGTCAACTATACAGTCTCCCATGAGGCTTTGGCTGTACCCCCCTTGAAGGAAAACCTTAAAGTACAATAAGGCTGAGGGTGCATAGCTATATAGTTGTGATTTTATTCTCTATAGCAAGGTCAGCATTAATAATAGATTCAAGTAGATCGTCATGGTTATTTTTTTAACATACGGATTTCCTCACCTGTGACTGACAATATTTACAGTGTTATTCATAAAAGGGTGAAGAGTTTGGAGAAGGCAGGAGAAGTGAACAATCTAGGACAACATAGCTGAACTGGAAAGGAAGCTGAATTGGAGAATGTTTCCAGTTCAGCTATGTTGTCCTAGATTGTTCACTTCTCCTGCATTCTCCAAACTCTTCACCCTTCTGTGAATAACCCTGTTAGTGTATCTCTGTACTTTTTCTATTGTAAGCTAAGCATGCACTGCAATGTTTACTATGTATTGTCTACTCTTAAAGCTTGTTTTATGTTAGTTTTTAATAGCCCGCAATTTGTTGCATCGATACCATGTCTGAAGATGTCCATTTTTCATATTTTAAACACTAGTCTCTTACAATGCTTAGTATTTTATATTACAGTACAGCCTTTTTGAATGGCTGTTTGTCTACCCACTCTGGAAGCAGCCATCACTATACAGGTGCACCTTTTAAAAGGGCTTAAATTCAGAAATTTAATTAATTTGAAAAAGAAAAAAGATTCATGAGAATGGTGTTCCTTTTTGTTTGGTGTAAAACTGAGTATTTACGTTTCCTTTTGTTAGAGATCACCTTTTTCATATTTGATTGATATTTTTTTTCTCCCTGGTCTACAGACTTGTTCTCATTCCTAGTCTACCTCATTATTAAAATCTTTCATTTTATGGAAGTGCAGAGGCTGACATCTGCCCATCATCTTACAAGGGTGCACTGTGTTGACATATTCTTCTCCCCAATTTGGCTGATTTGTTAGGGGTGCAAGCTTAATGAAAGCATTCTCCAAAAAAGAGAATGATCAGCGGTCAGCCACAAAGATATTTTCCTTGATGTTGGAAACTTACTTTGTACAATAATCACAACACATTCTCCTTACCTCACTTCTATATGATGATGATTAAATCTGTCTCATCACTTGCTTTTATTGGGCATGTATCTCCTGATTTGTTCACACCTATGTTCAGTTTGGCCACACCCTTTAAGTCTGGCCACCATTTTCTTTTTAACCTCTGGCATTACTGAAGCCCATTAGTGCCACACAAATAAAATTGCTTACAGTAGCCAATAGTGGTCACCTTTTGGAGGCATTTTTTTTTTTTTACGCGCCCGTCATTGATCATGAATCTTTAACGTAATACTGTGGATGTGCCCCTGGTAAGGGTAAAGCTACTGTCAGACCACAATTTTTGTTTTCTAAAAGGAAAAAAAATAAACACACAAAACATGCAAAATGTATTTTCACCTCAGCTGTACATATGAGAATGTGATACAGTGTTTCATCTAATACTTGTATAAACAATTCCGGGTGTTGTCTCCTGTGTCAGAAGCCTGGGACCAATACACATGAATTGAAGTGCAGCATTAGAGCCAACAGATGCAGTCTTTGTTATTTGAACGTTCTGTTGAACACTTTTGTACGTTTTGTTTTTTACACCATTTCTGAACTCAGTGCTACGTTTTAAGTAATTCCTCCAAGTTGGAGTAAAGTTGGCCATACTCTGTTATATTTTTTTGTTCAACCTGTGGGCTGAACAAGAAAAAAAAAATGACATTCCTCCATCCAAGCTAAACAGAGTGGATGTATGACTCTCCCGATGGGCTGTTGTGTTCTGACAGCGGCCGGTGTGCCACTGTCATTATACCTGAACAGTGATTGGCTGCTATCACTGTTCACCTGAAAAGTTCTTTCGATTGGCTCCTTCAATTTTCTGATCGAAGCATGCCGGGCAGAAGGCTACCAACAGGGCCAACCACCGAATTAATTTAGGCTGAATTATCAAGAGCCGGCCAGAATTTGTACAGTGTATGGCCAGCTTTAGACTCCTACCACTTGTAGAAAGGCTGCTTAAGCTGGCCCTACAGGCTGCAAGAAAAGAAAATCTAAACAGCATGGCTGGATGAATCTTGCTTGCCGGGCTATTGTATTTAAATGGAAGTAGAGGTGAGGCACTGAACCCAATGGTTATTGGTTCATAGGAAAATATAAGTCTTAAACATTGACCAAAATTGCCCAAGTTTGAATACACTAGCCCACAGAGAAGAGCACCAGACGGCCTGTGCCTGCCACTCTCAGAAAACCCAACTGATTGACTGTAGTGGCTGTTCAGTCAGCAATTTTCAGCAGGACTCAGACACAATTTGAGCAATATATGGTCCGCTTTGGTGATATACAGCACTTCAGCAGAGCACCAAGGGCATCTCTAATTGGATGTTTGAGATCTACTGGTTGTTAAGGGGAAGCTAATATAGATATCTATTCTGTTCTAGGAGTATTCAGTGCAGCACACCCTCCAACAACCAGCGGGTGTCAGCATGGCCAATATCAGATGCCCTCAGCTCCCTCATATAAGTTATTGAGCAGAGGGCTGTAAACCTGCTCTCTGTAAGTGTAAAGGACTACCACATTGCTTGAGATCCTGTTACTATACAAATCTTTTCTATGCTTTTTGTTTTACTATTAGATGGATATTGGAATATTTCACCACACACCAGCTTCTTTCTTCAGGACTCATGGCTAAATCTTTGTTAAAGGGAATACTGTTTACACATTCAAAATTAACCATGACATAAGCACTACTTCCTTGCAGCATTGGGGGTCCAAAATTCAGTTTCTACCAGGGCTTCATCAGCATGAAGTTTGTATGGATTTTATTTAGTTGCTCCAATATCATCCTTCACTCTAAAAAAACAAACTGCATATAACCTGTAGGGTAGAATCTATTTTTTTTTTAGGAGCAACAGAAATTAGTAATTTTTAAAGCAGTGATCGACAGGCACTTTTTTTTTCTTCTTCTTCATGCGGGCAAACCATTAACTGTGAAAATCCACCTGTGTATTTACTAAACCAGCCCACATTCACTGACATACAGTAATATGTGAAAATTATCCTTTTTATTGGGGATGGTACTATACACCCCATTTATAATGTAACAGTTGTCACATTTGCTATGCGTTCACCCAAAACCATTCCTGAGCACATACAGCATTCTGAAGAGTCCTCTCGGCTGTGATAGGTGTTTAGAGTTTGGAAGTGCAAGAACTGTGGAAAGCTGGGCATTTGGCATAGTGATGTTACCTTGGCATCCTATCATTTCTGCCAGGATGTTGCCAGGCTGCTCATTTGTGTGTCAGCATTTAAACATGTCTTTACTTAGATGATGATGATTGTCTACTCTTCCTGGCTGTGGGCGAAACCAGTGAGAAGGCATTTCAAGGCAACTTCCTTGCTATATGTGGCTGTGATATAGGAAATAGTATTTTATACATCGTGACATTTGTAACGTTTCACCAAAAAGCTTTGATTACTGCAATACGAGCATTCACTGTACATTTGCTGATGTCACATTTGATGTAAGTGGCAAATGTTACCAAATTCACCAGATTGCCCCGAGAATAAATATAATTGCAAATGTTTTTATACATGAGGTCCACTGATAGTTTCATTATCACTAGTGTGTAGGTCATAGAGACATTAGATTGTATTGTCATTTGACGGGGGGACACTGATTTGAATGGATTTATATTGTGTGGAATAGGTTGCTGATATACAAAATGAAGTATGTCAAGTTTTTCTTATTTCAAGGAAAGCAGACAATGGAGAAGTCTGTGTGATATAGCGAAAAGGACAAAAATAAGATAATCACATATATGAAAAGAGGCGACTTTCATAAAAATGTAGACTTGCTGACTAAATCTGGCAAGTGCATTACTTTCTTTACAAGAATAAAGTACTGAAAATCCTCTCTTGCAAAGCACTTGCTGCATGCAATAGAATTGTGCCTGTGTCTCACAACGGTTCAATGGGACATCCTTTGTTCTTTTTACCTCCCAAAATCATACTCCTTATTCTGGTTTCACAATCACATTTGCAGGCATGTTCTATTGCTTCCATCAGTGACTGATAGATGCAAGAATGTGCAGCTAATTTGTAGTCGGTGTGTGAAAATCTGATCCCTCTTTACAAGAACATTGTGAATGTTAAGGAAATGATGTGGATATGCAGCCGGGAATCAATGCTCTGCTTCACTTAATCAAGAGCAGGTCAGCAAATGTATTTAAAAGGAGTCTGTAAAACTGGCTCTGCTAAGGATGTTAAGCATCTCTAGACAGACTGTTACAGAAGACGAACATGAATTGTTGGGAAATGTGATGTTGACCGAATAAAATAATTGTAAAATGTAAGCTTTGTTCTGTCATTATTTAAAGGGACATAATATTCAAATCAAGGATTGTGTTAATGGAAAATGCTCCTTCCTTCTCACAGTATGTCTATAAGCCATTATTGGT